TCCCCCCGCCACGAGCCTGGAGCACTATAAGCAAGCGAGGTGTGAGTGTGTGTGTGTGTTTGGGGGAGAAGGGACAAAGCGAAGGGGACCGGGTAATGTCATGGGGGTGCGGCCCCAGCATCCCGCCCGTCCGGGAAACCTGCGTGGGGCAAGTGCGAGCCCAGGAGGAGAGGGGAGCCGCCAGCTGCCGAGCACCGGCTCCGAGGAGCTGCGAGGCCGGTGCGGGGAGACTTGCGGAGCAGACGCCGCTCCGGGAAAGGGAGCCGGTCGCTGCGGGAGTTGTTAGGGAAATTGGGAACCGGAGGGAGTAGAGACTCAATGAGTTGCAGTTGCCGCTGCAAACGGTTGTTGGTTTGCACTCAAGGAAGGAAAGGATCGGAAACCGCGTCAGCACTCCAGCACTTGGGCCTGAAGCCCCGTCCCGGCGACCTGCGGGGACGCGCAGGGAGCCCGCTGCTGCCACCTGCGGGCCGAAACCTGAAGAGCGGAGCCGACTGTCCCTGGTGGCGGCCCCTGGGGCCTGAGTCTTCAGGATGCAAGGGTCCAGTTTCCTTTGCAGCACCAGGCAGCTAGCATTCCCGATTAACTGTCCCAGGAAGTGAGGATCTGCTAGGGCACCGAGTCATTGGAATGAGGTGCGAGACTGATAAGAAATGAGAAAGGTTCGGGAAACTCACAAGTTATCTTCCCGCTTCCCAAATGATTGCTTCCTTTGAATAGATATTAACAGTGCATCAGAATAACCAAACCTAAAGAAATGGAATAGGATTTAGCGACCCCCCCAGTCTCCAGAAGCCGGGGACTGAGTTTTCAGAAATTTTTTGTCAACCATAGAGAATCAAAAAGGAATTTGATTTGTTAAATTTATGCAACGCGAATATTTTACTATAATGAGAATGCCTACTCTTACACTTTTTTAAAAATCAAGTTTTATTGATTTCAGAGACAGAGAGGGAGATAGAAACATCAATGATGAGAGAGGATTATTGGTTGGCTGCCTCCTGCACACCCCCCACCGGGGACTGAGCCCCTAACCCATGCATTCCTTGACTGGAATCTAACCCTGGATGGACCCTTCAGTCCGCAGGTCCACTGAGCCAAACCCGCTAGGGCAAGAATGCCTACCTTTAATCACCACATTTGTAAATGGGCTTTTCTCTGAAAAATACCTTTTAATGTTAATGAAATTACAAAACCCCAAACCTGCTTGTACCCACTGTGGGCCTGGTAGGGAATAGCAGCTCCACAACTCTTGGTGAAAGTGAAGGCAGAGGTATCTAGTAGCAAATGTTTCTGTTAGTAGTTCTGTCTTTACACACGGTAGCGGTCCAGGAGCTGCTGGAGAGGCAGGTATCTTGTATTGCCAAACAAAAAGAAAGCTGCACATTGATGTTGAATATTAAAGAAGCTGTTGCCATATTGTGAAAAGCATTCTATCATTACTTTGTTAAAATTCGTAGTTGCAATAATGCATGTATCTGGGTCCATCGATAATCCCACAGTAGTTGCCCTGTACCCAGCAAGAGTCTGAGTGGTCCTAGGCTCTGGCCAAGTAGCTCAGTTGGTTAGAGCATCAACCCAATATGCCAAAGTTGACAGTTTAATCTCTACTGAAGGCACATATAAGAACCAACCAATGAATATGAATAACTAAGTGGAACAACAAATCTCTCTCTTTCTCTCCTTTCCCCTCTCTCTCTAAAATAAATTTTAAAAAGCAATGAGGGAATGTAATTCCACAACATTTCTTAGAAATCATCTGAGTTCTACCTCTACCACCTCCCTTAACCAGAATCGAACCTGGGACCCTTCAGTCCGCAGGCCAACACTCTATCCACTGAGCCAAACCTGCCAGGGCTCTTTAGAAGGAAGATAAAACAACCTCAAAAAGAATGATGTATATAACGGAATAGTTTCCAGAGCATTCACAGATGCCATTTATGTTGCAAGTCTTCCTTCCTGAACTGTTTTCAATTTTCAATTGAGTGGTTATTTTAAAGCAAATAGATGAACCTGGTGAAAGGGAGAAAGAGAGTGAGGAGGGAGTGTGGGAAAGAGAGGCTTTGTAATGACTTCCATGTGAGGACAGCCTGGGATCCCTTTCTCCAACCTCATCTCCTCCCATCCTTTCTTTCACTTTATGGTTGGAACACATCATAATTCCCCAACTTGTACACTATTTCAAGCCTCTGGGGTCTTACTTGGACTGCTCTGTGTCCATGTAGAGCTCTTTTTCCCTCCTTTTGGTACGGATTCAAAACCCTCTGCATTTCTCCTTTCCTTCTTCTAGGGAAAAAGAAGAGAGAAGAGCCCTGACTGGTTTGGCTCAGTGGATAGAGCGTCAGCCTGCAGACTGAAGGGTCCCAGGTTAGATTCTGGTCAAGGGCATGTACTCTAGGAGAGTCTTTCTAATTACCTTTTCCTGTCTGTGTGAGGTACACTCCCCTGGGGCCCAGTGCTATCCTGTGCTTCTTTAATACAGTTCCTCATGTTGTGGTGACCCCCAACCATAAAATTATTTTCGTTGCTACTTCATAACTGTAATTTTGCTACTGTTATGAATCGTAATGTAAATATCTGATATGCAGGATGTATTTTCAGGGGTCACAACCCACCGGTTGAGAACCGCTGGTTGAGTATTTAGGGCAGTGGTCGGCAAACTACGGCCCCTCTTCCACAAAATACCACGTGCGGGCGCGCACGTACAGTGTGATTGAAACTTGGTGGCCACACTCACGGGGCCAAAGAGCTGCATGTGGCTCGCGAAGTGAAGTAGTTTCAAATAGGACTTATAACTATTGCTAGTGTCACACTGGTTCAATTTAATAAATTGTTCCTCAAGCCCCATGCAGTCCTACGACTCATTTTACATATAAGCATTAATTGCTTTTTTTCAGCACTGCTGGCTTTCATGTTTTGCCAAGTGGTATGGGCCTGTACATTAGTGGTTTAACTGGGTATTCTGTTTATTTCCATTGTTGGCACTATTTAAATGGTTACATTAGCATTCATATTCAGAGAAAAGCAAGTTAACCTCATCTTTATTGTTAATGACTTCTTGGTGCCTTGTTTTAGATCTACCCGGGAATAAGGGGAGTATGATTCTTTCCTAGTCTTCCTCCAGGAAGTTGATACTGTAATTGAAATCCTGGCCAATAGTCATCCTTGGTGTGGAAAGCAGGACTTTGTGCTGGGTCGGCTATGGCCAGCTTTCTGTTTAGCCGAGACCTCAGTCTGTGGGCTAGACAGCTTTTGTGGCCCCATGCTAGCCATGGATGTAGTGCTAAGCTTTCAAAGCATAGCTTTCCTGAAAGATTTGAAAAGAGACTAAATCTATATAGGTTTGTAAGGTATATAGCTGGAAACTGATTTTAAATTTATTTTCATATATAGTATTCAGGACCCTTCCATGGTAACTACATGCAAGAGTATTTTCATTATCTTTTTGACACAAAGTTCCTTAAAAGACTGCTTGAGGGCTTTCTGCCTGTACATGGATGTTCTTCCCAAGTTTAGTGGCAAGTTTCAGAAAATTACATGGATTAAAGAAGACACTGCCCACAATGAAAAATGGCCTGGAGTCACTCCATCAGGCCTAAGAGAACACAGAATTACTCTGAGCAAGGCAATAAGCACTCAAGAGATTTGGGAGGGAGGGAAGGCAGAAGGACCTATACCAGAAAATTATTTGGAAGATGTAATGAATTAACACATAGAGTTTATTTAAAATACTGCATGGAGAAATATGCAGTAAATGTTAATTATTATTACCATTATGATTTCACAAGGACCCATATGACCAATGAGGGAACTAAGGCATGAAGAAGGCAAACAACTAGAATTTTAGTTCTTAGATTCCATCTCCATTATGAACACCCTGAGAACTATGACCCCTCAGATCTGAATCTCTGGTGCCTGGCATAGCCCCTCCCTCCTAGAGTAGCTACTTAGAGAACAAAGAATAGAACACACCTGTACTCACCATTTCCGCTTCTATTGATTAGAGACCTGTCTATTGCTATTACTAAGGTCCTGAGCCTTATTTTGGTATTTGAAATCATATTGCAAGTTAAAAATTAACTAGAAGATGATGAGAATGATGACATTGCCAACAAGAAGCAGAAGACTCCTAAGGATGACTAGACAGTAAAAAAGGAAAAGTTAAACTAAAAAAAGAAAAAAAGGCCATCCTGACCTATTCACTCTCCATTCTTGTCTCAGAATCTAAATGTGGTCACCTTTGAATAGAGAGTCTTGTCGGCCTGCCCACCACGGGCAGTGCC